CCTCTCTGTGCCCAGTACTCTGGTAGGCACCGGAGAGAGAGAAAATATTGGATGAATGAATGGACAGATGGATGGGTCCCACTCTCTGGGGGTTCAGAGTCACTATTGCAGGGGTAGGAGACATGCATGCCCACGGCCCCCACCCCCATGCTCCCTATACCCATGCACCCCCAGGACACACCCCTATACCTGCCTGTATCCATGTTCCCGTGCCCCCCACCCCCTGCGCACCCACACCTGTGCACACGTTCATTCCAGAGCAGGTCTCCCGAGGCCTGTAGCGGTAGTTTTGGTTGGTGCCACCCCATCCTCTCATTTCCCCTCAGGGAGGGGTTGTCTGGACACTCTCTTAAAAGTCCCTTCTTCTCCTTGTTCAGTCTTGCCACACTCCGGCTTGGTGGCCCCAGGGCTGTGACTTCATCTTCCTGAACCTCTCTTTCCTCAGTCTGTAAACTGGGGTTGCCAGCCCCGCCCGGCTCACCTCACAGGGCAGTGCCAGCATTCCCATGAGATGAGGGGGGAGACTGTTTTGTAAACTGCAGATTGTTTTCCAGTCCAGTGTTGCTCTCGCTTTCCCTGCTCCTGGACTGGGGAGCTCCTCCACCCACATGTGAAGCCTGTCCTTGGGTGGGGCAGGATGCAGCATGCACGGAGGGAGGGGGCCTGGCTAGTCCTGAGCCTCCCATTCTGCCTGGTGCTGCTGGCGGGGGGGTCCATGGGCCCCTCGGCCTCAACCTTTGTTGGGGTCCACTGACGGGGTTGGCAGGGGTCTCGGCCATTCGGCTGTAGGCTCTGGGGGCAGCTTGGAGAATTTGTCAGAGGAGAGCGAGGGAGAAGGGAGAGGTTGAACCTGCTTCGTCAAAACCTGAGGCTAGAGCAGTGTCGTTTGTTCAAAGAAATGTCATCTCAGATTCGATGTTCATCTAACTTCACTGGGGGCCCACACCTCAGTACAGCCAGGAGCCCCTCCCTTGGGAGAAAGCCAGGGTTCTGCCTCATGGGTGTGTGGGTACCTGCTGGGCGCTTCATGGAGCTGCCCAGGAGCCATCACAGACCCTCAGCTTTGGTGGACCCCTAGGGGGCCCAAGGGACATGTGGTGGGAGTGAGGTTAGGGTGGGGTCTGCCAAATTGGCTTGTCAGAAGGCTATGCCATCTTCTTTTCTTCCCAGCTGTGACTGGGAACCAGGTGGTGCCCATCTGTTTCAGGAATTTGGATATGGGTCTGTGGAGCCTCAGGGACTGCTCCATGGGGGCGGTGATGGGGGAGGGGGGCTACAGTAGTTACTTTGCAAGGAGCCCCTGACCAGAGGTTTCTGTTCCTCCAATCTAGCTCAAGCACTGTAGCTCAACATTAGAGAAACAGAGGCCCAGAGAGGCAAAGGAGCCACCAAAGGTCACACTGACAGTGAGAGTAGAATCTGAGCCTCCTATCTCCTAGCCCTGTGCTCATTTCCATGCCTGGGAAAATGGGGCTCTTGCTTGGGGACATCTTTTATGAAGGGTTGTGTGGACTCATGTACCTGTGTGAATGAAGCCAAGGAATTGCCATTTATAGCAATGGCCTTGTGGGCTGGAGCAGTCAGGATGGGCTCCTTGGGAGAGGAGGTAAAGTCTGGTTCACCAGGGAGGGTGGGTGAGGTGGAGTGGGGAGCAAGTTCGGCCAGGTTGTCATGTCTCTCGTTGTTGAGCCTTCCTAGGTCTTCCTCAATTTAATCTTATTCTGTCCTCATGATGGGTTGTGAGTGTTTCTTCCTCTTAACCCCACTTCATAGATTTGTTCCATAAATCTACAAATATTACATCAGCCAGTGCTCTGTGCCAGGCCCAGTACTGGGACCCAGGGATGACCAGGCAGGCTGGTGGTGCCCTTGCCCTTCCTTTGCCTCTCTGGGCCTCTGTTTCCCTCCAGCCTGGCTGGGGTACCAGCCACGTGGTCTGGGACCTGTTAGTTCCCCTTGCTGTGCCTCCATTTCTCAGCTAAGGAACGGGGATAATGAAGCCCCTTCCTCCTAATATTTATAAAGTGCTCAGAACAGAGCCAAGTACGTTGAAAGTGCAATACTTATATGCGTGTGTTTGTTTAAAGAGTTATCAAAGGAACACTAATTGTAGGTTGTGAGCCTGCGCTGCACAGGAGGGAGGTAAAAAGGGCGATGATGCGGGAGCTCGCTGGGAAGCTGGAAGTGTTTCTGACTTGCTGGGGGTGTGGGTCATGGCGGGGTGTGCAGCTGTCAAAACTCATTGAGCTGGACTCTTGAGACGTGTGCATTTTACTGTACGTGAAGTGTACCTCAACCAACAACACACACACACACACACACACACACACACACACACACACATATATATGTAAAGAAGAGTTGAAGGGAGAATGAGGGATCCTTGAGGTCCTCTTCAGTCAGGGTGGTCAGGGAGGGCTTCTGAGAGGAGGTGATACTGGGGGGACTCCTGGAAGAGGAGAAGGCTCTGGCTATGGAGAAGGCAGATGAGGAAACTGAGGCTTAGGAGGTTTGGGGCCACACTCAGGGCCACACTCAGGGATCAAGAGTGACAGCCCAGGAGGTTTCTTGGCAGCTGGGCCTGGGCTCTGGCCCCTGTGATCTCCCCTGCAGGGAGGCCAGTGGGGACATTTACTGTGTTTTCTGGGGGCAGCCCTCTCCCCACCCCTGTGCTTGTTCTTAGGGTCTTGGCACTCAGAAAAGGACAATTTTAATCCATGTGGGAAATGGGTTCCTAAATATGGACTAAGTCGGGTGGGGGGCATTTGGAGGTTCCAGCTCAGGGCAGCTCCACCTGCTTCTCCACCTCAGCAAAGACAGGGCACAGGCCCAGGCCATAAGGCCTTTGGGGCCCTCCTTGGCCATACACTCCCCTCCTCCTCTCCCTCCCACACCTTCCTTCTAGCACCATGTCCACCCTCCCACCCTTTGTTTGTTCAGGAGCCCAGTGTTTTCTGTCGGCCCTAGCCAGGAACCTGCAGGCCAACCTGCCCTGATTTGCCCTAAAGCTGCCTTCAGCCTGGTGGGAGGTATAGAGGCAAAAACCCTAGAGGGGAGGTGCTGGGAGGTCTTTCCAGAGGAGGGGACATCTGAACTGAGCCCAGAAGCTTCCTCAAAAAGAGGGCGTTGACCCAATGGAGAAGGAGAAGGGCAAGAGTGTACGTGGAATAGGCAGAGTGAGGGCTGTTCGGGTCAGCAAGTACATCATTCTGACAAGAATGGGAAGGGCTGGGGGCAAGGGATAGCAGGCAATGAGAGCAAGACAAGCCTGAAGGCCAGGGGAGGAGGTAGCCATTATTTGGAGGAATGGGAGTGGGGATTTAAAGAGTGGGGACAAGGATAGGTGGGGCTTGGGACCCCACTGGGAGGTTTCCAGCTGTGTACTTGGGAGTTTTTGAGAGGAGAGAGAGGACTCGGGTGTAGGGGTGAGATGCCAGGAGCAGGGCGGAGTGAGGAGGGGATCCAGGAGCCAGCCTGGAGAGTCAGGCCAGACTGGGGAGGAGATGGCAGGGGGGCAGGGAGAAGTGTAGGGAGGCCATGCAGAAAAGGGTGCAGAAGAGACAGAGCAGGGAGGGAGGATGGTGCATCTTGGGTCCTGTGGCTAAAGACTGGGGGACCCCTGGCTAGAGCCACAGTGGGGGTGAGCTGGTGTCGTGAGTGGGGGTGACTGAGCCCCTGCCCCCAGCACCGTGAGCAAGAAGCTGGTGCTCAGGAGCTGTGTGGTCACGGAGCTGAGGACGTTCTGGGAGGCAAGGGCAGCATGAGCAAGGGACTCATGGTTTCCAGGCTGGGAGTCTGTCCACAGCAGCCTCTATGCACACCCCCATCCTGGACTGCTTAATGGAGCAGGGACCCCCCAAACTGGTGGAGGGACTTGCCCGGCTTCTTTCACCCCCAGGCTAGGGTCAAGGTGAGCAGCTCCAGAGATGGAGGAACAGCCACGGGGCAGCAGATGCGAGAACCTGCTGACTTCCTCCGTGCCTCAGTCTGCCTCTGCCTAGAGAGCTTGGTCCCAGAGTCTGCCCCACACAGTGCCCTGGCAGAGGGGAAACCATCCTGCAGACGAGGAGACCAAGGCCAGGAATGGCCCAGGGTCCTGTGGGGGCTGAGCAAGATGAAGCTGCTCTGAGCCCCAGGCTTGAGTTCTGACCCTGGTCCTCAACCCTGATCAACTAGAAAACAAATGGGGCGGGGTCTCAGGTGAGCAGCGCTGTGGGAGGATGGCCTGTCCTGCTGTCCGCATTCTGGACCACCTCACCCTGCCTGCTGACTTTTCCTCCCCTACACCTCCTCCTCTGAGCAGGACCTCCGGGGCCTTGCTCGTTTCTGGTGATTGGCCTTCTGGTTGGCGGCCATAGCCTAGGGCTGAGTTAACCTGAGCAGGGATCCTGATGCCCGCGCACCCACTGCGTGCCTTGCCGTGATGCATCCTGTGGGGATGGCTCCGTTATGACTCCATTTTACGGAGTTGTGGGCTGTGGCTTGGAGCTGTGAATGTTCACCTGAGGTCATACTGAGTCACTGGAGGAATTCAGCCCCAAACCCAGGCCTCACCCAACCAGGCTGTCACTCCTGCCCCCAGACTCTACCTCTGGGTCTACAACTCTTATGCCATCCCATTGGAAAAATGCAGTTCCAGGGATGTGTGGCCCCTGGCCTGGGGTCTCACATCTGATGTGTGATTTGTCTACAAAGCCCGCGCAACTGCCACTTGACTTGCAGCCCCCAAGAAGGGAGGCAGGGCTTCTGTAAGCAGCCTCTGAGCCTTTCCAATTGTCAGCCACCTCCCGGGGCTTTCTTGTGGTCATTGGACCACAAGTCAGAGAGACCTGGATTTGAATCCTCATTCTGCCCTCCATAGGCTGGGCAAGCCTGGGCAGGTCACAGGCCTCTCTGAGCTTACATATTCTTGTCTGCCACATGAGGGCGGTGACACTAGTGGGGGGCTGCTGGGGAAGTGGGCTGTGTGCCTCATGCTGTCTGTGCCTACCTGCCCTCAGCTCCTGTATGACAGCCCCAAGGCCCGGCAGGAGGTGGACCACCACTGGCAGACCTCGGGGGGCCCTCACATTGTGCGCATCCTGGACGTGTATGAGAACATGCACCATGGCAAGCGCTGTCTCCTCATCGTCATGGAGTGGTATGCTGGCCCACCCTGCGTCGGGGCCTCATCGGTACTCCTGTGGCCCCCAGGCTCCCACCCTTCTTCTAGGGGCCCTCTCTGCTCTCAAGATAGCAGCTGCGGGAGGCACCCCAGCCCCTGAGGAGTAATGGAGGGCAGTTGCAGGCCTTGCCCATGGAGCTGTGCAGCTGGCCACAAGGCCGTTCCGTCTGTGTGGGAAGGGAACTCCAGGGGCTCCAGTGTGGCCTCCGTGGGTGTGCTGTCACTCTGTGAGGAGGGGCTGGAAGAGGGGTCAGAGAAGGCAGCCGAGCCCTGAGCGTGTGATGCTGGGCAAGGCCCTGCTCCTCTCTATGCCTCAGTCTCCCCCGCTGAACAAGAGAGGGTGGGACAGGGGTGCCTGGGTGGCTCAGTCGTTAAGCGTCTGCCTTCGGCTCAGGTCATGACCCCAGGGTCCTGGGATCGAGCCCCGAATCGGGCTCCCTGCTCAGCGGGAAGCCTGCTTCTCCCTCTCCCTCTGCCCCTGCTTGTGTTCCCCTCTCTCACTGTGTCTCTCTCTGTCAAATAAATAAATAAAATCTTTAAAAAAAAAAAAAAAAAGAGGGCGCCTGGGTGGCTCAGTCGGTTAAGTGACTGCCTTCGGCTCAGGTCATGACCCTGGAGTCCCGGGATCGAGTCCCGCATCGGGCTCCCTGCTCGGCGGGGAGTCTGCTTCTCCCTCTGACCCTCTCCCCTCTCATGTGCTCTCTCTCTCTCCCATTCTGTCTCAAATAAATAAATAAAATCTTTAAAAAAAAAAAAAAAAGAGAGAGGATGGGACAGAGTGTCCATGCCCCAAGGAGTTCTATGAATTCATAACACCTTGTCAGAGATGGACTGTCCATGGCCTTGGGATGGAGGCTTCAAAGCCTCCTACCTTGGGCGGAGCAGGCACACACTGTCACCTCCACCTTCTCCTTCCTACCTGGGTTTGGGCTCCCGTGGTCCCAGGAGACCACGGGGTAATCCAGGAGCCAGCGGCCTCTTCTACCTTGGGCTTCTCCCAACAGCACTGTGGCTCAGCCCTAGCCTTCCTCAGATGCTGGGTCTCGTGTCTGGACCTTGAGCTCCTCCCCATCCACCTTTAAGCAGCCCTCATCCTATAGGTTAGCAGCCCTTGAGTCAGATTTGAGGTTCAGATCCTGGCTCTACCACCAACTAACTATGATTTTGGGTAGCTCTTAACCTCTCTGAATTTCTGTAACTGCCACATAAGACGTGGAGGAAGATGTTAACGTGCTATTCGCCCTGTACCTGACTCCGTTCTCAGGGCTCCACGCGTACTGCTTACTCAGTTTGCACAGTCCACTCTGTGACGCTGGTGCTCTAAATCCCATTTTACGAAGGGGGAAGCTGAGGCGCAGAGAGGTAAAGGGACCAGGCCAGGGTCACATAGCGCTGTAGGTGTTCAGAAAACAGTGGTGATGATGATGACAATTGACATCTCCTCCCTTATTTGAGGGAGCTGAGACTTGGATGAGGGTTGGGCTGCCCAAGGCTCAGCCAGGTGGGGGCAGCCCCGTGGGAATACAAGCCCCCCCCCCCCCCCACCGATGATCTGAGGACCTGAGCCTACCCTAGTTCTAAGAGTCCAGATCAACCCACCCAAGCTGATGGCCTCCTATGCACCAGGTTCTGCAGGGCACAGGGAGGCTGCCCGTAACCATTTCCCAGGGGCAGGGTGGCCGGGCCTAAGCTCTGGGCCCATGATTCCTCTGGGCCCATGATTCAGGCCAGGAGCAGGCTGACACCTGATTCAGGGGGCCCTGCTTCTAGTCACTTTCTCTTCTAGCATGGAAGGTGGTGAGCTCTTCAGCCGGATTCAGGAGCGTGGCGACCAGGCTTTCACCGAGAGAGGTAGGTGTGTGCAGCAGGACCAGAGGGGGCATTTGGACTGAGACGGGCCGCACAGAGTTGCTGTGTGATGCTGGGCAAGGCCCTGCTCCTCTTTATGCCTCAGTCTCCCCCACTGAACAAGAGAGGATGGGACAGAGTGTCCATACCCCAAGGAGTTCTATGAGTTCATAACACCTTGTCAGAGATGGACTGTCCATGGCCTTGGGATGGAGGCTTCAAAGCCTCTTGGTACCAACCAACACTTGAGCTGGGAAGAGGTGGCCCAGGCCTGAGGAAAGAGGTCCAGGTGGGCTGTGACATCCCCAGAGGAAATTAGGATGACTGGGGTGGGGGTATAGGATGGGTCCTGGGTAGCAGGACTGCTCTCACCATCTTGTGCTGTTCCAGGGGGGATGATTGGGTGGAAGCCCCAGGCTGCCCGACCTTGGCCTGGCATCACTGGCCCTTCCTCTGTCTGTGTCTGCAGAAGCTGCAGAGATCATGCGGGATATCGGCACTGCCATCCAGTTCCTGCACAGCCAGAACATCGCCCACCGAGATGTCAAGGTGAGGCTCAAGGTTAGGGGACCAGAGAAGGGAGTACACAATCCCCAGCGGCTCCCAGCACCCACTAGATGGAGGCAAGTTTCCTTGATTGGCATTCAAGGCCTCTGTCCCCTAGCCCAGACTGCTCTTCTCAGCCACTTCTCCCATGGTTCCAGCATACTCATCCTGCCCTAGCCAGGTGGGTCTCCTTGTTTCTTTCAAACACTGTGTAATCCCAATAGGCTTTAGAACAACTGAGTGCCTACCTCAAGTCAGTAGGCCCTGACAAGCATCTTGTTTAATCCTCACATAACCCTGTGGGATCATTGCCATTACCCATTCTACAGATGAGGAAAACAAGTCTCAGAGAGATTGTGTCTTGCCTAAGCCTGCGCAGATGCCACACCGGTATTCATTCATTCATTCTTTCAGTGAGGATTTTTTTAATTTTAAAGATTTATTTATTTATTTGAGAGAGAGAGAGGGTGAGGGGGTGGGCGGAGGGAGACAATCCTTCAAGCAGACTCCCGGCTGAGCACGGATCCATCCCAGGAGCCTGAAATCATGGCCTGAGCTGAAATCAAGAGTCAAAGGCTCAACCGACTGAGCCACCTAGGCGCCCCCAATGCCAGCATTTTCAGGGAAAGAAGCCGTTAGCTGGGAGGCAAGGAGGAACGAGCAGAGGTAGTCCCAGTTCCTGGGCCTGCTTGCCCTTTCAGTGGATGGGCTTCAGACATGTTCTGGAGGCTCAGCTCTCCAAATGTCCTGTGTAGGGAGGGCTGGGTCCTAGAGGTCATCAGGACCAGATGGGAAAAACGCGACCCGTGTGAGGCACCCCACGTGCATACGCACGTACGTGCCAGCCACCATAGAGCAGAATCTGCGAGTCCTGAGCCCGCTGCCCCAGGCCTGGAGCGTTACCCTGAGGCCTGTTTCGTCCTGAGACTGGGCCGAGAGTTGCTGAGGGCCCAGCTGTGGCATCAGGTTCCTCCTCTGGCTGAGTACCACCAGCCCGTTTATCCCTTGATTCTGGGTACACGTGGAGCCATGACAAACTCACCTTCTGAACCCTTGCTTTATTTTGGCCCTGCCTTCCTTTTTTTTCCCAAGGAGAGAACAGTCTTCTGTAGACGTGACTCCCTTGTATAGACTAAATGTGCTTTCCTGTTTTCACCCCAGTCCAAGGTCGGATAATCTCAAATAGAACCAGAGAAAAGGCTTTCACTGGCCCCAAACTGGAACTCCATCCAACACCCTGTCCTTCTACCCCAGCTCTGCTTGAGGGTCCCCCCTTTCCTCCATGGCCCTAGGTCCTATCCATTCATTAAAAACCAGCTTCAGGGCTGCCTCCTCCATGCAGACCTCCTCACTGCCCTCTCCTCTTAGGCCTCTCTGTGCTTTGCAACCAGGAAGAACGGCTTCTGTGCAGCGCCTGGGGCCTGAGGGGCAGGGGCCTTCTCCCCGAGTGGCCTCAGGTGGGCTGCCCTGCTGCCTTGTTCTGGGTTGGGTACTGGACAAGTGCTTGGCAACATGAGCTGCCTACCTTGCCTGGAACCCTCATTTTGGTATTTCATGACAGCATCACCAACTCAGGCTCTGAAGTTCCTACTCCTGGGCTCTCTGTGGTACTTAGCTCTTCTCAGCTTTGGCTGAACACCTGCCTCTGTTTCCCTTCTGCGAAAGGAGGCATCACCTCCCAGCCACCTTGGTCTTCTCCATATTTGACCTACATTGTTGGTGACCAAGGCCCAGGTCTTTTTAATGAGATGGAGCTGGTTCCTCCTGAATTGATTGGGCTGAAGGAAGTCTGCCTGAAGATCATCTTGGGAACTCTTCCCCCACCTGGTGCCTAACTTCAGACCAATGCTTTATCTTCCTGGCCCAGCCTGAAAACCTGCTCTACACGTCCAAGGAGAAAGATGCAGTACTCAAGCTCACCGACTTTGGCTTTGCCAAGGAGACCACCCAAAATGCCCTGCAGACACCCTGTTACACTCCCTATTACGTGGGTGAGTCCTTGGGACGTGGTTTGTACGTCCCTACCCCCACTGGACCCTGTTGCTGTGTGGGGCAGGCAGCCCGTGGGTTGCAGAAGCCAAAGGGTTAAAGCCCAGTAAGGAGGGAGGGAGGGATTCTGTTTTCGTGGAGGCGGTGATGTGGGGGGCCGGAGGCTGCAAAAATATTCTCCCAAACTTCAGCTTCTGCTTTTGAAAATAGATCCAGGAAAATTCTGGCTGTGGCCTGTGAGCTGAATGACATCACAGCAGCTCTAAATATATACGTGATAAAAGGCTGCCATCAGCTTGGGACAGAGCCCAACCGCGGTTGTTTTTCTCCAGTTTTTATCTTTCTGGGATTCATATTCAGAAAGTAGGCAGGACTTTCCTATTACATTAGAAGGATACAGGGCACCAGCCCCTTGTCTCCAGGGCGAGGGTCCCTTAGGCCAGGGCAGGGATAGGACTTGGGGGTGTCACATACCCATGCTTCCTTCCTTGGAGAAGCTCCTTGCTCCCTTATGAGCAGGTAGCCCAGATCTGGAAAAGCCCCTGCTGAAGGTGCTCCTTATCCGAGAGGCGTGATGACTCGCATTACAGAGGGTCTTTCCCCTCAGGGGAGACCTTCCAGGAGAGCTGCTTAAGGAGTGGGGAGCCCCCAAGACAGCCGAAATGGTATCCTGTTTACCAGGACGTGTTTTGCAGTATTTTGGCTCAGAAATCTTCTGGCCTACCCATCTCATTGCACAGGTGGGAAGAGCAAGGCCCCATGGGATGGTAGCCAAGCTGAAAGCAGAAACCAGAGCCCTGCCCTGGCCCCTCCTTGCCCGTGGGCTAGGATGTGCATTCAGGGGGACAAGGGACACGGGGCTGCTGGGGGGAGGAGGCCCTCTTGCCTATGGCAGGACCCCACCAAATCCCAGACTGGCCTTCCTCCCTTTCCTCCCTCACCAAAGGCCGATAGTGGCCCAAAGAAGCTAGGAGGCTATCATTCCTTACAGCCCAGCCTAAAAGTGGGTTTATTTTTTCTGGGAGCTGTTTTTCCTCCCCCAACTTCACACACATGCTGCCTTCCCAGAAGGTGCCAGACACCAGTCTGCTTTGCCCCGCCCCCCAACCCAGGTACCTGCTCCCCACCTTGCTCAGGCTTCAGGCTCCTGTCTGGGCTCCAAGACCCTTGGGGCTGAGAGCCCTCCTGTGCCCTCTGCCCTGGTAGCTCCTGAGGTCTTGGGTCCAGAGAAGTACGACAAATCGTGTGACATGTGGTCCCTGGGCGTCATCATGTACATCCTGTGAGTACCACGGCCTCTGCCTCCTACACCACCGCCCCCTGCTACCCTCAGTACCGCTTCTGCCTCCTCTCCCCCAACCCTTGGTGAGGGGCTTGAGTGGGTCATTCTTCATGCAGGCTGGGGACACCCCTCTTTCAGGGTGCCTGAAGGTCTCTCCTTGCCAAGGGCAGATGGCATTCCTAGGACGAGCCCAGAGTCCAGAGGGCTGGTCTTCTTGCCCAGGTGGCTACCTTGGTGGCTGCCTGTCTTCCCAGTCAGGGATTCGGGGAGGAGAATGGGTCCACCCTGGTGCTGCCCTCACACCTGTGCCGAATGACCTCCACTCTCTCCCAGCCTGTGTGGCTTCCCGCCCTTCTACTCCAACACGGGCCAGGCCATCTCCCCAGGGATGAAGAGGCGGATCCGCCTAGGCCAGTATGGCTTCCCCAATCCTGAGTGGTCGGAGGTTTCTGAAGATGGTGAGTGAACCTCTCTGCCCCAGCTTGCTCTGCTGGACCCCATTAGCCTTCATTCTGGGACCTACCACGTTGGTGTCAAAGCAACCTGTGTTCAAATCCTGGGTGTGTGACATCCCACGTCCCATCTCCCAGCTAGGGAACCTAGGCAAGTCACCCAAACTTTCCTTTTTTTTTTTTTAAAGATTTCATTTATGTATTTGACAGAGAGAGACACAGCGAGAGAGGGAACACAAGCAGGGGGAGTGGGAGAGGGAGAAGCAGGCCTCCTGCCGAGCAGGGAGCCCGATGCAGGGCTTGATCCCAGGACCCTGGGATCATGACCCGAGCTGAAGGCAGACGCCCAACGACTGAGCCACCCAGGCGCCCCAAGTCACCCAAACTTTCTGAACCTCAGTTTCTATATCTGCTAAATGGGCTCAAAACTTGCCTCCTCAAAACATCCTCTAACTCCTACCCCTTCTTAGTATTTCCCTTTTGGGGACCACAGACAAATTTGCCCTGTACCCATTCTCCATGGCTGCTTAACGTGTTACCCCCAAACACGTGAATTGTTAGCTCACTGTTTCTGTGGGTTAGGAATTCGGGAGCCCATGCAGAACTGGGGCGACTGGCTCTGAGGAACTCTGCAGCCTCCCCACTCCCCTGTCTTCCCCAGCCAAGCAGCTGATCCGCCTCCTACTGAAGACAGACCCCACAGAGAGGCTGACCATCACACAGTTCATGAACCATCCCTGGATCAATGTGAGTGCCTCCTTGTCCTGTGGCGGGCAGGGTGGCAAGCTGGAGGGGGGGCTGTGGGCAGGAGGGTGGTGGCTCCGGAGGCCCTGGTGCAGGCCACAGATACGCAGCAGGACCCCGCCGAGAGCCTGACTTTGCCCCTGCTCCAGTCCGGCTCCTTCACCTCCCTGAGCCTTGCTTCCCATATCTGAGACCAGGAGAGAGGGTGGGGCTGGGGAGCCTGGGCCGTCTCCGGTGCCTGTTCTAATCCAAGGGTTTGGGGCTCCTTCCAGCAATCAATGGTGGTGCCACAGACCCCACTCCACACGGCCCGCGTGCTGCAGGAGGATAGAGACCACTGGGATGAGGTCAAGGTGGGTGGACGCTGTTGCTGTCTCAGTCTCCCAGGATTTTGGGAAAAGGGACTCCAGGGTGGTGGCCACCAAGAGCCTGGGTCATCATCCCCTCCCCTGGGGTGAGAGCCCGGGGTGTCACAGACTGCACCAGGGGTCCAGCTGGGGCACCCAGAGCACTGGGCCACACTACTGCATTCAGGGTGGTGCTCCTGGCTCACTGGGACTCGGGGCCGGGGGCTCAGTGAAGGAAGGGGCTTTGGCCATAACCCCCCTTACAATCTACATCTGGGAGGGTGGTCAGCCTGGTTTCAGCATAGGGGACAGCAGCTCAGAGCCCCAGGGCACCCCAGGCCCAATCTTCAGGCTTTAGTGCCCTGAGTGCCCCACAAGTTGGTGTCCCCTGCAGACCTGTGGTTCTTAGCAGGTGACATTGGTCCAGGTCCCTGACCTACTTCCCCTAGGTGTGGTCACAGGGAGTCACTATACTTTCTGTGCCTTGGTGGATAAGCTCAGTGTCCACCACAGAGCACTACAGTGTGGATTAGGGGACACAAGGGGATGGCCCAGTGCTAGGCGCGCAGTGGGCGCTCAGGCAGCAGAACTTTTGCCGCCCTCGTTGACATTAGTAAGGGGCTGGAGGCAGGAGGGTGATGGCTCTTGAGGCCAGTCCGTCCTGACCTCCACGGACATCTGTCACCAGGAGGAGATGACCAGTGCCCTGGCAACCATGCGTGTGGACTACGACCAGGTGCAGATCAAGGACCTGAAGACCTCTAACAACCGACTGCTCAACAAGCGGAGAAAGAAGCAGGCAGGCGGTTCCTCAGCCTCCCAGGGCTGCAACAACCAGTAGCCCGCCGGGCCTTGGATGAGGGCCTTGGATGGGCCGGGCCTCTCAGCCTGGGGACAGACAGGAGCGTGCTGACGCCCCGGGTCACTGTTTTTAACAAAAGGATCATTTTGTTGTGTTTTAATTTGTCACTTAGAACTTCAGGATGGGGGACCGTGACTCCAAACTTCCTTAGAGAGGGAGCCCTGGAGTTAGGGAGCCACCTGCCCCAGCTGCAGCGCCTTTGGCCAGAGCAGCCTGAGTGAGACGTAGCTCTGTTGGGCACGCTGGGGCATGGCTTTAGACTTCTAGGCCACCGGCAGTTGTGGCGGGCTTCCCTCCTCCCTTGGAGACACCCCCCTGTAGGGTGGACAGATGGGCCTGGCCCTGGGAAAGGCATCTGGCCATGGGTTGCCATGGTGACCAGGGACTGGCTTGCTGTCTGTGAATGCTGAGTGAGAGAGCAAGGGAGGGAGAAGGGGCAATGGGGGTCTGCCTCTGCGTCCGTGGGGCGGCTGGTCTCCTTCACGCTGCTCCACCCTCTCAGGCTCCCTCCCTTTGGTCTCCTGAGGCCCACGGTCAGTTTGCCTGCCTCGCTGGGTGGTCCAGCCCTATCTTGCTGCAACCCCATCCCACAGGGCCCCTGGAGCGCCCTCCCCGCAGAGTCCCTGGGCCTAATGATGCTGTTACTACCCCTTACCCAAAGAGTGGCCTCTCATCTCAGGGGAGGGTGGGAGGTATTTTTAACCCTTTTCTACTTTGGAAAATGTCACTGTGACACAAGCCAGTACAGTTCTCTTGCCCCTACCCACTCACCGGTTCCCAGGCCGGAAAGCTTCTCTGTAATGGTTCATCCTCCACCTTGTCCTGGTTGATGGCAGGGGCTGCCTCCTCGTGGACTTTTGTGAGAGTGGATGGCTGGGGGCAGGACCCAGTGGCTCCCCATTAATCAGGGGTCTCTTTCTACACTCTGGGTCAGACTCCAGGCAGTGGAGGGCTACTGAGTGATGCTTAGAAGGTCTGGTTCTGAGTCCCAGCCTGAGTCGGAACAGAGAGGATCCCTTCCTTGCTGGTCTAAGCTTACCCAGTCCCACGGCTGCCCCAGGTAGCCTCAGGGTTCTCAGTGCCTGATATGGGCCCGACAAGTGCCTGACACCCAGCCTGGTCCCTGACCTCTCTCTCGCTGGCTGGGAAACCCTAGCCCACATCAGATAGGAAAACACTGCTGGGTTTTACATGTAGATAGTAATAAACACCATTTTGGCGTTTCCTCCTGGTTCCTGGGTGTCTCTGTCTACACGAGTGGACAAAAGTGGCCCAAGGGCAGCTGCTCACACCTACTAGTGATCCCCCCCCTTAGGCCTAGTAAGCATGCGGGCTGGCTCCAGGGTCACTGTGGCCTTGCCGGGCGTGGACAGGTCAGACAGAGAGGCAGACGCATGGCAGCTTCCTCATGCCACTAGCTATGGGGCGCCTGGCGCACCGTGTGTGTGACACCCACCCCCGGGCCCCGCGTGCGCCAGCGTCTGCCCACAGCGGCCACCCCCAGCTGCATGCCAGCCTGCTGAAGGGCGGGCGGAGAGCCTGCTGCAGCACTGAGCTATTTTCAGAAGCTGCCAGATTTCATTTGGCAGCGAGAATATCGGGGGGGGGGGGCGGGACGCTGGAGACTGTCTTTTGACTATTCCTGCAGTAGAGCACCTACAGCCTTCGGGAGCCCTTGCGGGCAGCCTCGAGGTGGGGCCTGACTGTGGCATATTCCCTCAGCTCCTATCTTGAACCCTCCCAGTTTCCCAAGAGCTCAACTAGCACCTGCAGCGCTCCCTCCACCTCCTGTCCCCTCAAGGCGTGGGGGAAGGGGTGGAGATGGTAGAAGGCAGGGAGAAGCCAGCACTCCTGAGATGCGGGCTGCTTCCTAGCTTGGCGACCTTGGACAAGTCCCCCAGCTTTCCCACCTCAATTTCTTCAACTGTGAGGGGGCGGTAGTGCCCACCCTAGGGAGTCATCTGGGGGATCCAGGCAGAGGATGCGTGTGAGGTGCCTATCCAGGTGCCTGGTGCATGGCTCGTGCCCAGGACCCATTTGCCACCGCAGCATCCTTAGCCATCAGGAAGGAGAGAAGTACCTGAAGTTGCTAGAGGGAAAAGCAACCCCGCCCCAGATCTATCTCTGGGACTTTCCACCCCCAAAGTCAGGCATTCGCCACCCATGGGGTTTTACTCCCAAGGGCCTGCCCTCCAGAGCAGCATCACCCGGGTTTCCTGAACCTCGGGCAAAGCCTTGGGCTTCAAGGAGGGTGGCCTATGCTTCTGAAGGGCCCCTGGGCCCCCCAGATGAATTCTGGGGACCTCGTGGAGCCTGTGGTTCAGACCAACCCTCGCCATGTACTCTGCCCAGTGCAATACTGGCCAGATGCAGAGGCAGATTGTCTAGTCACAGAGCTGCAGACAGACTCCCTCGCTGGGCCCTGAGCACCCACGGTGCTTGAGCCCCTGCGCTGGGTGCGAGGAAAGCAGCAGGGAAAGCTGCACGCAGGGCTCTCACCTCAGGGAGTTCACTCTCCTCCAGGAGAAGGACAAAACAGCAAACAAATGCTACCAAATCTCAGGCTCGAAATGGTCTATGGAGGAAGGGCGTGGCTTAAGAAGGAGGTGTCACAGGGCCTTTTAAGCCAAAGAGGGAACTGATGCAGCTCAGTGGCTGGGGAGGGTGTCTGATAGTTTATAGGACTGAAGGCAGAACTGCAGGGACCTGGACCAGAGCCTTGGGGACAGAAGGACTCTACACCCCTCAGCTCTGCCTGTCTGTGCTTCTCCCTGGGGCTGATCTTGATCTTCTGCCTGCACCGCCTTCTCACATCCGAGACCGCGACTTCTGCAGTTCCAGCAGGGAGGCATCTGCCAGGGGCCTACACCCCAGACCCAGGGAGGGATTCTAATACTTGGCCCATCGCTGTTGTGGGGAAGGGGAGGTGGCTAGCTTGGTGGGGGTGCAGCAGAGGGAGTTAGCAAAGGAGAGGGTTGGAAGGATTGCTCCCATATCTGCCATGTCTGCTCGGCCACTTCCAAGAGCTGAAGAGACGTGGGGTCCCCTGATCCCTGGCATCAGGTACAGCTCTCATAAGCCAGGGTGAGGAGGCTGGGTGCCCGGCCAAGTCACACTATTTGGGCCTCAGTGTGGCTATCTGTGAAATAGGAGCAAACCCCTGACAATCAGATGAAATTAGGTGAACCCCAAAAAGCTGTGTGGCCACTTGTTCTCATCAGCCTGTTCCGACACAGGCATTTACTTGGCCACCATGCTGGCGTCCCTGGAAGTTTTCAATAAAGAATCCACGAGAGGTGTATTCACATGTGTGCACGAGTGAGTGCACGTGTGTGTGTGTGTGTGTGTGTATGTGTGACATTGCTTCCCAGTGCTTCCCAGGGATGCTCCCCTGACCCAGCTGACAGCAGAGTTCTCTGTCTTGCAAACCTGGTGCTGGCTAGCTTCCAGCAGCCTAGCTCATTGCTATTCCACACCAGCCCCTCTCTGTCCTCGATTCAGCCCCTCCACCGCAGTGCCAGAATTGAGCCTGGAATGCAGACTGCTGCAACCTCTGCAGGGGGCTCAGTGCCCCCAGGCCTGCTGGAAACTCTCTCTCTCTCTGGGAGGTGTGGGGAGGGGGCATAGGCCCTGGGATAGCCATCTCCAGACCTAAGTTCCTTGGGCTGAGCCTTTGCATCTCTAGTGGGTCCTTGCAGCTGCCTTTAAACCCAGCAGGGTAAAATTATTCCCTTTGTCCTACTGGGCACCCAACATATTCACCCCTTGGAATCAAAGGCAGGAAAGGGTCTGGAAAGTCCACCTCCCTCCCTGAGGGTGGGGTGGGGTGGGGTTATTTAGCTTAGAGCCAGGATATCTGAGCTTTGGTTTACATGAGGATTTGGGCAAAGCCGTTCCACTTTTTGAGGTTCCCCATCCTCATCAGTAAAATGAGACACTGATCAAGCAGGGCCAGATCCTTCCGGCACCCTGGGCAGACATGCTGCCACCAGTGGAAGGTTTTCTTACCCCTTAAATGGGAGTAATCCTCACAAGGGTGGGCAAGGCTGTGGAAAAGGGGAGGGGGCAGCCAAGTCCAAAGGGCATGGTCAGCAATGTTGCCCAAGTGTCTGCTAGGCGACATGCCAATGTGCCAAGACTCTGCTAGTCCTGCCTTTTCTCTGTTTCCCATGACCAGGAGAAAGCAGCTGGAGGCTCAGGGAACCAGTTTCCCAGGGCTCAGAGCATTTTGTCAAGGCAGGTTAATTGGGGTGTGGGGCCACCTGCTGGTCACCCGAGTGAGCATTCAGTAGATGCCTACTGTGTACCAGAGCCTGAGGGAGCCATGGTCCTGCCTGGGTGGAGGGGGAGGCCACAACATCGCGATGAATAGCTACTGTTATTAAGTGCCTACTGTGTGCCAGGATGGTGCTGGGACTTTACATGGACCATCTCAGTCTTCACATTCCCATCTTACAGATGGAGAAACTGAGCCCCAAGCTCTCAGCCACTGCCCTCTCTGCTGGAGAAGGTCAGAGGGGACGACCATGGAAGGATTACCAGAACGGGGTGACATGTGAATTTGAAGGGCAAGTCAGATTTGGAAAGACAAAGATTTAGGGAAAGGGCATTCCAGCTGGCAGGTAGAGGGGGAGGCAAAGTGAGGAGGCAGGAATGGGCTCGACCTGCGTGAAGAACAGAGAACAAGTAGGTTTAATGGGTGAGAGGCAGCCATGGCAAGGAGATCTCTCAGTTTTTCATCCCATCTCCTACAGGAAGGCAGAGTGGGGACCCCAGGGGTGAGGCAGTGGACACCTGGTAGCCTCTCCCTCTTAGCACTCCCAGGGCACTCTCGTGTCTTCCCCCCTCCCTGCGTCCATATGCGTCTCCCCTAGAGATACACCCCATGTTTGATGCTAGTTTGTCAACCTGTTCACCTCCTTTTGCTGCCGTGGTACTTCCAGGTGGTTCCCATGTTGCTTGTCAGGGGCCAGATCTTTTCACACCTACTCCCCAGGTCTTCAGGATGTGGTAGAAGAGTCCTAGGGCCCTCCACCCCTGCTTCCAACAGAGCTATTTCGTGTATTGGAGTTTCTTCTGAGATATGAACAAGAGTTTATATGCTTAAAAATTTTTATGGACCATTGAACTAGACATGTAACAAACAATATTTATATCAAATCCTGCAGGTAGGCATTATGATCCCATTTTACAGATTGGAAACCAAGGTTCAGAGTGGCTGAATGGCTTGCCGAGGTCCATGACTGGGCTGTGATGTGGCAAACGGACTTCAAGATTGTCCTTTCTCCACTGTCCCTGCCCTTAGAGAGTCCAGACTCCACGGGGACAGGCAGCGAGCAGCTGCCTGCACTGTCTGGTGGGCTGCAACCAGGCGCTGAGGAGGAGCAGAGGTGACTGGTGATCATGGCTCTTGGAGGCAGGCTTACTTTCCTCTTTCTTGTGGGGAGTTCAGAGAAAGTTAGGACAAAGAGGAAGTTATGGGGATGAGGAGGCATTGGGGAGCCTACCTTATCCCCAAATACCTGCTCTTGTGGAAGGGGCAGTGAGGATAAATCCTCCCCCCGCCACCCCAGCCTTCATCTTTGTTCACAGCAAGCCAATCAACTCTCAGACCTGGCCAGGATTCTCTGTGTAGGAACTAGGTGAGTTCTTCAGCCACCCCATGGAGCAGCCCCGTGTGGAGACCCTCCCCAGTACCTTCACTTTCAGCTGATGGGACTTTGATTCATGGGCCGTGTCTCCCTATCTGGGCTGCTGGGGCTGCATGGAAGGTCTCAGGGCCCACCAAGAAAAGGTAAGGTGGGTGAGAGGGCTGGACTTCCCAGCTCTGGGCTCAGTCTTCCAGTCACATTTTGAGCCCATGTTTTGAGCACCTAGAGTGTGCCAGGAATGTCTCATACAAGATCTCCTTTACATTTCTTTCCTTCCAATAGCCCTCCTAGGCAGAGGTTATGCCCAGCTTGCAGACAAAGTCACTGAGGCTTGAGCAGCACCAGGATAGAGTGCCCAGGTTCCTATATGTGGTATGTGGCAGGGCCAGGTCTGAACCTGGAAGTATGGGGTTCCATATTCCTCTCCCTGAGAGGAAGGCTGTCCCTGTCCAAAGAGTCCCAAACCCAGCTGACCGCTTCCCTGACCTGGCCTGGCTGGAGGTGCCACAAAGGTGCCCTTCTTTCCCCTGGTCTTCTCTGCCCCCGGCTGCCAGAGGAAGGGCTCTTGGGGGTG